TCAAATAAGCCATTGAGGCGATATATGACACACATATTAAAATAAGGTAGAATGCTGCAATAGTTTCTTACAAGCTAACAAGAGAAACTGAGAAAAACACTCACATTAATCTCTGTCTTGTTAATGGGAGGCGAAGCTAGAGTAATTTCTATTATAACTGTTATAAAAATTTCCAGTTTGGTTAGCAGAATAGTATTTCCACTGATTAACACATGCATATTCTAGAACAGCTAACTTGAAAAGATACTTGCTTTTCTCTGGAAAGCTGCCAGAGAAATGCATTTTACAAGCCATAATACCAGAATTCAGTCATTCATTAATTAATCAGCTGCACACTAAAAAGAAGCAAGGAAAGCTTTATACAAAAAGAAAAAGCTAAACAAATGTAAATTACTACGCTCATAAAATACATCCATACATTTTACTTTTACTTTGAGAGTGCCTAAATATGTAAGCAGTTAAGTGGTTAAATCAGTTGATTTACCATAAGGAAAAGCACCATCAGCATTAGAATATTTATAATATTTATAATTTATAATATTTATAATCTTTTTTATTTTGCATTATTTTATCTCTAAATGAGGGGATCTCAACTGGAATCATAAGCAATTCAAAGGAGAACCACAAATTGCTTAAAAGCATGGTCATCTTTGCGAAATGCAGAATAGAAAAACCCATTTCTGTCCTTCTTCCTTCCAAAGCCCCAGTTGTGGTTTTGCAAACTCTGAGAACTGCATGAAATATGGGTGAATATTTAATAATTAAAGTTGGAAATATATTTATTTTGCCCAACTCTAACCCTCACTTAATAATTTTATTTAATAATTATTTAATAATTGAACAATTTATTTTTATTCATGGACGAGTCACAAAAATCAAAATTTGAGAATCTTGTTTCTAAATGTTTAAGAGACTTGAACCAATTAAAGAATTATCTTTCCCTAATGATGAAATTGCCGTAGTGGTGCAGTGGTTAGAATGCAGTACTGCAGGCTACTTTTTTGGGGGGGCGGGTAGGGTACATTGTGTTTATTTTTGCTTTTAAATCCTTCACAAATATAGTATATTCAGGTAATAGAATTTTTCTTATTTAAACTAAAGATAGGGACTTCCACGTTGGACGACACAGAGTCCTCGACTTACGGCCACAACTGAGCCCCAAATTTCTGCTGCTGAGACATTTGTGAAGTGAGTTTTTGCTCCATTTTACGACTTTGCTTGCCACCGTTGTTAAGTGAATCACTGTTGTTAAATTAGTCCCATGGTCGTTAAGTGAATCCGGCTGGCCCCACTGACTTTGCTGCTCAGGAGGTCGCAAAAAGGAGATCACGTGACCCCCGGGGACACGGCAACTGTCATAAATACGAGTCCAGTTGCCAAGTGTCTGAATTGTGATCCTGTGATCACACGGTTGTAAGTGTGAAAAATGGTCATAAGTCTTTTTTTTCAGGGCCGTTGTAACTTGGAATAGTCACTAAATGAGCTGTTGTAATTCGAGGACTTCCTGTACTTTTTTTATATATATAAAATTTTATTTGTGTTTTTTCCATACATACAATAATAATTTTTCAACCAGCGTGCTATCTGGGTTTAAATACGCTAATACATATTTAATTCCTAATACTTTGTTCTGTCCTGGGCTCACATGATCACCTGTTGCAGCTTTCTGACATGCAGTGTCAATGGGGAAGCCAGATTCACTTAACTGTGCTACTAATTTAACAACTGCAGTGATTCGCTTAATAACTGTTGTTAAGAAAGGTTGTAAAATGGGGCAAAATTTGCTTAGCAACTGTCCTGCTTAGCAACAGAAATTTTGGGCTCAATTGTGGTTGTAAGTTGAGAACTATCTGTATTGGCTAAGCATAATTTCTTCAGATCAGGTATTATTTTGGACCTTAAACAAATCATTTTGAAGTTCTTTAAACAAAGCACCGGCATATTCCAGTTGCCAGTTTATAATTACAGTATAGCCAGTGTCAATTAGGGATTCAATGGTACATTTACCTTCTTATGAAATATGATATATCTATATACTGAATACAATGCCTTGTATTTATGAGACTTAACTCTGCTTCCTGATGCCGGTTGATGTGATAGTATTAGGGAATGACCTTGGAAGATGGAATGGTGGGGATGAAAAGATGCTGCCTAGGGAATATCAGATAAGAGAGAACATAGCCCATAGCTATATAATGGGCAGAGAAAGTGGCTCAGAAGGGATTCCCCCCCCCCCCCCAGGTTCTCAGGCTACAAAGGGGACAGTTAGAGAAATGTATTTTCAGACTTGCAAGTTTCTATTAATGTAGCTTTATAATAGAGTAGAATTAGCTCACCTGGTTGTGTTTCCTGTCTGGTCTACTTGGGAAGGTATCCAGTTCTTTCTACCTGTATACAAGAAATGCAAATGTGACATAAGGAATCTTTATAATTATGAGAAAATAAGTTGAACAGAATGGCACTTCTGTCTTTTAGATTGCAAATCAGTGAGTTTCTTGTGCTTTTCTTCCAATTGTGTCTTCATATTAATGGCCCCGTTGAGAGAAGGCTGTTCAATTTTGACATAGATGGCGTCTTTCAAGCTAGTGGTCCTCTCTGTCCAAAATGTGGACTATGTTGTCTTCAAAAGAGTGGCATTTGTCTTTTAAATGCAGATGGACTTCCGCATTCTCCATTAATTTTGGTTATTGGAAGCTGGTTATGAAGCATCCAAATGCTAATCATATGACCATGGGACACTGTAATGGTCTTAAATATGTGTTGGTTACAAAGCACCCAAATGGTAATCAAGGGACTGTAAGATGCTGTGACAACCTTGGCAGCTTGAAGATGGATGTTGTCAGGAGCAAATAACCAGAAGCATTCATTGAGTTCAGAAGATTTTATTGTTGCTACTTGTACAGAAAAATCTAATCAATGAATGGTCAGTGCCAAATTGGTGCTAGATAAGAGTCAATGGAATTCATGCGGGCTGGACTTGGATCACGTGTGGCAATGCAATGATTCAAAACTGCTGACACGGTTTACTCCACCTTCCAGCTCTGCCTGCCCTTCTTCTACAACTGTATTTCAACTCCCAGAATTCACCAGGCAGAAATTCTACCCATCTTTAAGACACCAAGGTTGAGAAACACTTAATGGACTTTTTGTTTTTATTGAAAAGTTTTATAACAGTTACAATATAAACCCCAAAACCAACCCACCCTAAACCCCCCCATCTCCCTCTCCCACTTCCCAGAGCTGGATACAGGGTTACAAATATAATAATCATAATCTAACTAACATTAACCAACTATATAAATAACCAAATCCATAATGCGCTTTAACTCCCTTTAGCATAAATATAAACAAATTAAAAGTAAACATAATAATAAAAACATAAACAAATTAATATCCTAATTATTAAACAATACAATATCCAAATTGTTAAACAATACTAATACTAATAATAATAATAATAATATCATATAATTGAAACTAATAAAGATTCCACTATAATAAACTATTAATAATAATAATACTCTAAAATTTACCCATAAGCTAACTGGAACTTTTTAGTCCCATATTTATTCTGAATATAATCTATCCATCTTCTCCAAACCGAAATGTATCTTTCTTGTGAGTGATCCTTCAAATAGGCAGAAATCTTAGCCATTTCTGCTAAATTTGACACTTTAAGCGTCCATTCTTCTATAGTAGGCAAGCAATCCTTCTTCCAATATTGCCCTACCAATAACCTTGCAGCTGTTATCAAATTCAACATCAAATTAGTTTCTTTAGTATCACAATCTGTAATAACACCCAATAAAAATAATTGTGGAGTAAACTTTATCTTTCTCTTAAAAATCTTTTGAATGTTCCATCAAATCTTAATCCAAAAA